CTTCGTCTCCGGAAATACATTAGAGAACTCAAGTCAAATAGCAAAAAAAGGAAGTGTAAAGTGATTGAGATATTAAAATCGGTTTTGTTTTCTTTAAATAAAAACGTCATGCTCGTTAGGATCCCGTCACTATGGAGATCGTCACGAGCGGATTTTTTAAATTTAGCGAACCAAGAGGCCAATAATTTAGTTGCAATGCGAATCTCGAATTTGAAACACATAGCTATTGCTACTGCGTTAGGGTTCAAGTCGAGTTTGTTCGTACGACGTGTTATCAGTCTATTACGTAACAGACCGTATAAAAGGCAAGAAAGCTGGCGGCAAATCCGGAGCGTTACGACTGGGCCACCTTCAAGAAGAGAGCCTATCCTCAAATGCAGGTGACACCCCTGGTGTTCCGAATGCCCTTAGATGGCGGCGATCACTTACCACGAACTGAGCTTCTCATCACCACTTCATCGCCACTTCCATTAAAGAAATGACGCGCACATAAATATTACCTCCTTAAGTAGCGTTCCCGGTGCTTGCATGTAAATTTATTATTATTAAAAATTTTTTTTCACCCAAAAAATTGTTAATCTAAGAAATTAAATAGAAAAAAACATCTGCATGATAGATGCCTCTACACTAGGGTGAAGCTCGATGTTCGGAGGGTGATTTCGTTTTCTCTACACAAAGGAGACTGCTTAAAGCAGGAAACATATTTAGGTATTGCATGTAGTCAATATAACAGCTATCTCGCTCTCGCCTGTTCGGCATTAAAGACGTCGGAGGTAATATTTATAGTATGTTGTGTAACCTTTTAATAAGTCGACCTTCACATAATTCTATAAGGAGCGATAAGTAATATCTTACACGATTCTCCTGTTCGCCTTACACGAGCTTCGTGCAATGACTAATTTAGGCCTGACCACCCCAAAACACTCGAAAGTATGTAAAAGTAACAGCCTATAACTGTCCCACTGCTGGGTAAAGGCCTCCTCTATGCAGAGGGTGTCAGGGCATAGTCCACCACGCGGCCCCACTGCGGATTGGCGGACTTCACATATCTTCGAAAAATATTTTTTTTTGTTATTATTTTCGAAAATATGCAGGTTTCCTCACGATGTTTTCCTTCACCGCGGAGCACGTGATAAGTCAGCACTTAAAGTTAAAAACTTCATTGGTGCCGGCATCGGGGATCGAACTCAGGTTGCTCGAGTATATTGAAATAAAGGCGAGCGCCCGGACACTGAGCTATCACGGCTCTTCGATCGAAAGTATGTATATACTATAAAATAGTAGAGGTAGTACAGGGTGACAAAATCTAGGGACGCTGGAGTCAGAAATTTTAACTTCAACCGTCTGCCTTTAGCTTCATACAATCCCTCCTACCAAATGGCTTTTTACTAATTCCATTTCAGAAAGGTTCAAATTACTAACTTGCTGAGGAAACGTAAAAATGTTATATTTTAACTTTTTCGTACGAAATTGCGGGCATAAGCAGGAGAAATAATGTTTATTTTGTAAATGTATCATCACTGAATTAGATCCTAGTAGAGGAAGGGCGAGTGGTTGTTATACATTCACTGATCAACGCAATCACATGGAGTTATACCACTTACCATCAGGTGGGCAGTTTTTGAATTTAAAAAAAATACCGTATTACAGTCGGACGGCATCATCTGGTAACGTCTAAACTCTGTAAATGTGAAACAAAACTATTTCGCTTGCTATAAATTTGTAGGTTTCAATTGCAAAATTATTATAGGAATTGTAAGTTCATATAGTTTTGTGCCGTCACATAACGCAAATCGCAATAAGTCAATATTTGCGTTTGTATCTGACAATATATTGTAAGAACTGAGGTCATTCCCCAATTCTATATTTTTCAATTATTCGTTTAATAAACCGACTTCTATTGACGCATTATAACATGCGAAATTTTCAGTTCTAATATGTAGTGTCTGCATGTAAATAAAGAATATATGGACCAATAAATATTACCCTAAATATATTAAGTACAACATACAAAGTAAAATAGCCATGATATTTATTTGATCCGCGTTTGTCTGTGATTGAAATGAATTGCGCACATCCATATCATGTAAGAGCGATAAGGCTACGCGTCAATATTTGTGCAACTCACGTGGAAGTAAACATGACACCAAACAACCGTCAAGTTGAATTTTTCAATGATTTCTCATACGTTGTTGTTGCACGTCCACTTGGTAACGAGATATTTTTATCGTCGCGATAACGGCGAAAAGAATTTATATGATATTGAAGGTTTTATTTTTAATATTAAACTAGGCGATATTACTATATCTATATAACTGCTCGTTGATATAACGAGCAGTTATAAACTAAACTAGAAAAACTCGGCTCTGGATGGATGAACGTTAATGATAAAAAACAAGTTAATATCTCTAACAACGGGCTAGGTTGTAAGTAAAACTAATTAATTAAATCAATTAACGATTAAAGTTTAAGGCGGTGTTATTTTTAGGTGGTCTTTAAGTTATAGGCTTTAAGTTTTTAATTTAATTTAGTTTACAGTGGAAGGGCACTAAGAAGATAATGGGTTTATAAATTACTAGCGACCCGCCCCGACTTCGCGCGGGTGCAATGTTTTATATACATAAAAACCTTCCTCTTGCATAACTCTATCTAGTTCAAAAAAACGGCATCAAGATCCGTTGCGTAGTTTTTAAGATCTAAGCATGCATAGGAAAAGACAGACAGCGGGTCGACTTTGTTTTATAATATGTAGTGAAGGGGACTGAAGACGAGCTTCAATCTCTCTTTGTTACTTGTGCACAATTCGCAACATTGGACGTACTTAGAATTATCGGCAGGCGTTTTTGCATTATTAGAGTCGCGTTCGAACCTATTTATATAGGCGGATCGTTAAAACAAGTAAGTTGGTTCTTTATTTGCGGTTTGTTTAAATAAGGTCATGATCCAATTGGTGACGCAGTTCTTTGAACATATATTTGCTGTCATCATTGTTTTGAGACGTTTCACCATCACTACATAGTATAAAACGAAGTCGACCCGCTGTCTGTCGGTCCCTATGTATGCTTAGATCTTTAAAATTACGCAATAAATCTTGATGCGGTTTTTTTTAATAGGTAGGTGATTCACGAGGAAGGTTTATATGCATAAAACAATGCACCCGTGCGAAGCCGGGGCAGTTCGCTATTTATTTATAAAATAAAATGTCGAAACGATTTCATTAGTCAAAGATCATTAATATAGTTAATACGTCAATTCTGTCATTATTAATTACGTAACATAATTTTAAACGTTGACTCGAATTGCAATTATAACTACGTCGTCGGTGTAACATATCTGACCAATCGGGTATCGGATTGCAAGTCCTGAGTTTGTCCAAATAAACAAACAAACAAAAACACTACAATGTCCGTCACGTGTCCCGACGGAGCAATATCTTCCTAATATTATAATCAACGGTGGTAGGGCCACGCCTCGGCTGTTGCACTAATGGGCACGCTCGTCCGGGTAAGTACCACGACCTCACAGAAGACCGGCGTAAAGTGGAAGTATAATAATACTTTCGCGTTTCGTCTGGTGAGTGAGGTAGACGGAGCCCATTATTCAAACGGTTGTCAACGCATCTGCAAACCCTTGGTTGTAGCAGATGTACAGGGGCGGTGGTATTCACTTAACATCAGGTGAACCACCTGCTCGCTTGGCAAGTTTTCACAAAAAAAAAGCCTAAATTTTGTATGTATCGATGGATGTTTGTTACTCTTTCACGCAAATACTACTGAATGGATTTTAATGAAACTTTACAATAATATAGCTTATACATACGGAATATGACATAGGCTATAATTTTTATACATATCTGTCTTTCTGTCTGAATGTTACGCCTTCAGCCTATTCTACGCAGACGTACTCGCGGGTAGCAGCTAGTAACAATTATAGATAATGAAAGAGAAGTGCGAGCGGACACATCGAAGTAAATCGAAGCCGATGACTCAGAGAAACTAGTTCTTCGGTTTTCACTGGAAGAACAACAAGGCCAAAAGGACTGCGGCCGCGCGCGCAAGAGTTTAGAGCGTGTTGCGTGTTGGCTTCGAGCCGATGCGTCGGATTCTTTGCGAAAAATTTCATTTAACCTCAAACGTAGCACTGTATGTTATAAGTCGATGCATCAATCGGTGAATTTGAAAAGAAGAGCCGAGTAAATGATTAAAACGTTCTAAATAAGTACAATGGAGACAATATTAAGATTAAAGTGTTACCTAACTGTTTACGGGACGGAGATTGTTTAACAGATTTTGTCGTTTTGATTTTTGTTCTTTAATCATCAAACACAACTAGGGGTAATTTAGTTGCGAAACATACTGGATTTCGGCTTCCTGATGAAGTGATTAATACGCATTGCAGACAACTTGTCGATGTTTAGTTTTGTATACGTCCTCAGTTCGGGCGATTTTTTCGAAATGTTATACAACTTTCAACGGTAATAAGCGAACGGAAATTACACTGTGGCTACGAAGCAGCCTCCGCAGAACGGTAATCGAAGACCACCCTGTGAAATTTGCTAACGCTAATATAACCCCAAGTATATTACTTGACATCGATAACGTGAGCCTTCATGAAACCTTTTCTCTTAACAACACAAGTGAGTGAATAACGGTACAGTCATCGACGCGTATCGCTTTCCAATCGGCCGGTTTGTTACCGAAATGCAATCCTTCCTCCTTCAATGCCCGGTAACGTACCATAACGAGCATACGAACGGCAACTGAGAGTAATGCCAAACCGGACCGGACCGCCGCGGGCCTAGGGATGCCGAAAAGATATCGACATATCGATATTTTTGATTTTTAATATCGACATTTTTAGCTTTCTTCACTTTCGGCATCCCTACGCGGGCTAGTACGCTCGATCCTCGGTCATTTAAAACGCAAAAGTCGAACTTCGCCGAAATTGCCCCGGCCCGCCTGATTTTTGGCGCAGTGCACATGACACTACAGTTGACCTAAATGCCTGTACTCCTGTTATCGCCGATGAGCGTTCGGTATGATATATAACGGCCACACAATCTCATTGAAACAATGTAATGCGTAACGAAAACGTTCGTAACACTCGAGCGACATAGCGTGAAAAGATATTCCACGTAATGCATATAGCTACTTAATACACATGGTTGTGCATACGTATACATGCACCGAAGAATTGTCAGCAAAACAATATTTTTTTTGATCCTGTGTTGCACCTAACCATGCAAACATTAACATCAAGTGAGAGGACGCTGGTTGGCTATAAAATTAAAGCGCATAAGTTTCCAAAATAACACATGACACATCTCCGTCCGAATAGCATATATTTTGGATGCGTTAACGCTGACAATTATTTAGAGCCAACCGCTTGCTTGTTAAGTGGGTTATACGGACATTAGTGTACCTTAATCTATTGCTGGCCTACAGTTTTTTGAGGTTAATTCGGATGTTTCTGAGCGCCATAAATAAGTATCGCGCTTTTGCCTTATACGGCTGTCGAATTCATAAAACTTTCTTAAAGCTTCGCAGTAACTATTATGACCAAGCTTTTGTCGTTTTACAACGATTCAAGAGTATTTGCTTTGTCCAAGGGAAACATTTGAATTGTTTTTCAATTTTATGCCTCATTTCAATTGTCATAATTAGATTGTTCACTGTGTGTTGTTAAACTCCGATCATAAAGGTTCGTCGACACTTATATTTAAGTGCAATTTATGTCTCTAATCTCTGGCCGTATTCATAACCCTTAAGGTCACAATAAGATTACGCAGACAGCTGTATTTATTATAAAATCGACAGTAACGCGTGTAAAGAAAATGACGTTAGCTTCATTAACACATGCCACTGATTTATAAAAACACGTTAACGTGAATAAAAAATAATATACTCATCGCTCTTTAACGATTTCCAATAAATGAATATGCTTTAGACTTCTCCCCTTACTAAAGTAAGTCCGGCATAAAACTGTTGCACAAAAATGAAGCTATAAAAAATGTAAAAAATAAGACTGGCCAATAAAAAACTTAAAGGCTACGACGATGGGCGATGGTTGGTAAAACTTTACCTCTACTCCGAGGTTGCGCGCAAATCTCGAGCTTAACGCGAAAACCTCCAACTCAAAACAGCCGCCGGCGCACAAAACACTGAACGGTCGAGTCGAGACGATACCAGGACACGAGAACCGCGAGGAGCACAAAACGCACCTGTTGGCGCGACGCGGCGATCGCGACTGGCCGACGCGACGGACCATTAGTCTCGCGACGAACACGTCACGCGGAAGCAGGTTCTTCGGGCCGTCGAATGGAGTCCGTGGCTCGAGCGAAAATCGCGCCTCTATCGGAAGCTCGCGTTCAACGCGCCACAACTTGTCGAATCGCTTCGCAATCGCATGGGCGTGCAGAAACGTTCGCGTTATAGGATGGGATCTCTAAGGAGGCTTTGTTAGCTATGGAAAACGGGTCCTCTGTTTCTAATTAATGCGCTGCGACACTGCAGACATTGACGGACTCAGCGTGGTGCCAAGTTTCTACAACGTGATGCTTCCTATCACAAAATGAACGAATAAAAAAAACTTCGGCTTTCTATTTCTTCTTAGGAAACCATACGCAAAGAAGAAAACGTCATGTGGAACATTATTTGTTCCGATCACGTGGTATATACATAACCTAGTGTTGTTTATCATTTAACGTTAATCTTCATACAAATCTTCGATATCAACGCCGATGGAATGTATGTATAGTTTAAAGTCTGTACAGAGGCTACTAGAGAACAGTCCACCACGCGATCGTCAGACTTCACATATCTTAGAAATATTTTTGTTTTTTGTTATTCCTTAAAAAATATGCAGGTTTCCACACGATCTTTCCTGCACCGCCGATCACGTGATAAGACAGCACTTAAAATTAACAATTTCATTGATGCCAGCACCCGGGATCGAACTCAGGTGTTCGAGTATATTGAATTAAAAGCGAGCGTCCGGACAACGAGCTATCACGGCTTATTAAAGTATGTACATAACTTTAAATAATGAATCTTATTTCTACATGAAATACAATTCAAACATGCGAACATTAAGCATTAAAGCCACTTCATAGCAAAGTTTCTGTTTTGTACACGCGAATACGATTCTTAACTGTATAGGTCACTGAGCCTAAAAACTAATCAATGTATATATGTTACGAATACTAATAACGTAACTATTATTAAGATTACTCTTGACATGTGTTACACCTTCAAAAATTGTAACAGGATAGGTACATTTTGTAACATTACAGAGGTCTTGTAAAAGCCTGCAAAACTCACCAGGTAAAGTCTTTCAGAATTAATAGTATGGAACATACACTCGTTTTATGTGTGTGTTTTATTTAATTATCTACTATAACAAAATTGTTCTTCGAAATACTTTCGATTCTAATTCACGAATAATATGAGGTGAAAGTCACTTCGGCTTCGACCATTAGATTCACGCATAGCAAATTAAATTGATTACCCGCATCGCATATACAATCTCCATCTTAAACATGGGTAGGAATGAAGTCACAATCATTGAAAACTGGTAATAACTCTTTTGATCTTTTTAAATATTGTCAACTCATCGGAGTATTAAAAAAAGCAATATTTTCGTTTTAGCATTTGATAGTGGGCACGGTAAAAGTAAGTAATCGTTAAAATAATTTAATTTAAAAATGTGTACTGTTCATCTGAACTGTACTGTGTACTGGCAAATATTTCTTGTGTTTAACAAAAAAAAAACACGGATATTCAAATTCGATTCAGCATATAAGAAAGTCGAATATATATAACTCGAATATGAATATCCAATTTCGTCAGTCTCTCCTTTTATAGCCAATAATTTATACAATGTAAACATACTTATGTAACGACATAAACGGCGTTGTCATTTAAAGAAAGCAACTCATCCATGAACAGTCACCGAAAACGTTACATAAAAATTATGAATGCTTCATTAACATACAAAATCGTATTAAACAGAAATTATCACAATCACGTAATAGTTCATGCATATTAAGTAAGGACTTAAAAGGATTCACCTAATAAGGTATTTTATATAAATACGCGAAAGTTGTGGTCACAGAATAAAAACGAGACAATTTAGAATAAAAAGGACAAAATATAACTATTTCATTTACCCAGTAGGCTCTTTTCACTATATCTAGATGATCGCGATATATACCGATTTATACCGATGAATTACTTAATCGAAAACCTATTGAATTGCTTACATAATTATTTCTAAGCCTGATTTAAATAACGTGTATAAACACAAATATTTTATATAAATAAATCATGATAAAATCCGAAAACATGGCTTCATTCAAAAACATGCAGTGATCGCATAAAAATAAGAAATTATCTTTACACATTATTTCGCAAATGTGTCAGAACGCCATAAATTTCATAATTGTTCGTCAAATTTAATGCTTCAAACGCTATGTTTGTCGCTATTAACGAAAGATAGACAAATAGGATAAAGTTTATGTTTTCATAAAAAAAAACATTTCGTCTCAAAACTTCATATAAAGAATGTATGATAATACCATCTGTGGACATTTTTTTTTTTTAAATAGAATTTCTTTATTTCCTTACTTTGATTACCTTTATTCTTCAAAATAAGATACCTTTCATTAACCATAATTATTTGCAGATTATATTACCATTCAGTGACTGGTACTGTCCGCAAATATCACACGGCTCAGGTAGTCTGATTAATGAAACGAAAACTGAATATCCCGTAACCTTTACAAGCCGCTTATGAAGATGTTTATTAGTGTATTTATTTTTAAGATACGTACGTCGACTGTTAAGTACAGATGAGTGACATCATAATTACTTCACCTTCGCTTTGAATTAAAAACAATATAATTAAAACCATAGGAGCGATCAAATAGAACATTCATTATTCATAGCTTGCACAACACGTGTGAAAGAAATGTAACACGTGTATAGTTCGAAGACTAACCCTATACCTAATCCATTTCAATTAGCAGAAAACTCACGTACTTATATGACACAATGTATTAAATGGCGATAAATTCCTAATCTTAAATGTTCCGCGAATATTTTACTTTTAATAAGAGACAAACGTTGAATGGTTTAAAAAAACTGATGCTACCACGAGGCGGAGGGACGAAATTCGATATGTAACATCCTAACGTTTACTGGCTTAGATTTCTCGACATAATTCGGGGGCATTACACGCCTCCCGACCTTAAATCCCACTTTCGTTCGCGCGGCTCAGCAATTATAGAAACAATACGCATCAACAAACACGATGGAGAAAACGGAATGCAAATTCACGCAAACGATAACAACAGATACCTTACCTTCGATTTCTATCGATTCTAATAGCTCTTGATAGCCATCGCGTTTTATGAATATCGATTGAGTATATCAAAGATCACGTCGATTGGAAAACTGTAGACCTATTTTTACTTCGGGTCGATGACCTTTAGCAAGCAAACTTACATTTCATAAACTATTTATATCATTTGCGAAGTTCCACAAAAACACACTAATAAGGTTTCCCCTGGCAAGAATTGGGCAACCGTTTGGCCAAATGTCTAATCTAAGCCATTAAAACGACGTTTGAATATCAATTTATATCTCCACTACTCCATTTTTCTTAACTGGAATTCATTGATTTCTAAATATTCTTCAATAATAGATTTTCTAACAAAGAAAATGTTCTCATTCGACGCATAATAACATCGGACAAATAAGCACAAATGGAACGAAAATCAAAGCAAGTAGAATACAGGGAGCTATTTTATTATTTGTTATTAGACTGTGGTTATTTTGTATTGATTTATGGGTGTTACAATGCATGCTATAAAACATTATTATTACTAAAGCAGGGGCCTATGGGTAATAGATGCGTTCTTGAGTTTTGTCGAGAAAGCGGGCACGTGTCGATGCAGCGCGGGTGGAAACGGCAACGTGGTTCGTCATCGAATTCACGGTCCGTCGGTCATTAGGATCGATGCACCGTTGGCTGGGCGCAGTCAATCTAGCCTTCTAAACAACCGCGTAAGTCGTTAAAGCATCGAAGGGGCGTCAGCGGTGATTACGTTGAATTGTCTTTGAGTCGCTGGTTTGGGAACGCTTTATTCCAGTGCTGCGGTCGGGCTTCGATTCTCGGGACGGTTTCGTTATTACAACGCGTTCGTATTGCATTCGCCGTGTACTCTGATCTCTCATATATTTGGCAGATTACCTATAACTTAACTTGCGCGGATTTCGATTTAGTAACAATCTGCTAAAATGTAAAAAGATGGCGAATCTGTGATACTTTTTGTTAGCAACGGTTATATTTACCGAATTACGCTTTAAATATTCCGATGACATCTTATATTTTTCGCGATATAACTACCTAAATTATTTCAATACAAAAGAACACGTGAAACCCCAACAAAATCTTACAACTAGCTCAATTAGTGGAATTCTTGTAACTTTGGAGTGTCTGTTTGTAATATTAAAATAACCGCTTTTTACTAAATGCTTTAAAATTTTTTGTCTGTCTGTTTGCTCCGACTAATCTCTGAAAGCGCTGGACAGATTTTGACTGGACTTTCAGTTTAGCTGATGTAATAAGGAGTAACATACTACTTTATTTAGAAATCTACTTATTGTTATTAATATATATATATATATATGTATAGTATAATTCCATGCGGACGAAGTAGCGGGCGGGGGGACACAGCTAGTCGCCACTAAAAGCAGTACAACCGGATTGCTGATTTAGAAATTCGCGTCCCACATACTTCTCGTAGCTTAGGCGAACCGAGTTCCGAAGGACGCGACCTTCACACTTTCTATACGCACGGACAAAGCGCATACTGATAACACATTTCCTCATTGCACTAATCTTAGCGTCCGGGCGATAACAAAGACAAACGCGGTAAAGCCATCAACAAACTGATATCCAGCCGCGATCGTTATCGTGTTTGCTTTTGTCCAATCCAAAGGAAGAGGTGCGTAAAAATAATTTGTATGAATTATAATGGTCATTGAATAAAATTATTTTCGACGTAGTACTTAATGAACACAGTTTCTTATCTCCCATACTTATCTACAACAACAGGTTTGATAAACGGCCACTTTACTCTTTACTTTCCCCAGTCGCACTAAGACAAATCTAAATGTCAGATTAGATATGCCCAACGGGATGAACTTATTCCTAGTAGAACATGACGAGATATGAACCGCGATATATTTTCTCTTGATTTCATACAAAAATCTATGAGATCACGTGTAGGGTCAGCAAAATTGATGATATTACTATACCTATCCCTTAAATTTAATTGGCTATACAATGAACTCTTTCGCAGATTACATTTAATTTTCACTTTTACTGGCGTAAAGCAAGAGTATTAAAACTTGTGCGGCTTGTCTGGCAACCGAGTTAAGC